CACCAAGAGGTATACTGTGGTCTTCTGGTTAAAACTATCCAGAAAGCAATATGAAGTTCCCAGAAACAGTGCACTAAGGTAATTTATAATGTGATCTGGGATCTCAGGTATCTTAACAATGGAATGAGTCAGTTGTCCTCCTCCTGTTGTTTTTGTTGACAAGATCCAGTTTATTCTGCCTTTGCAGGGTAGTCCTGAGAGTAGCAGGCTTTGCCTTATAATGAGGAAATATGTCATAAAGCCTTATAATAAAGGAAGGGACTAAGGCAAAAGGTGGAAAAAGTTGAAAGTAGTTGTAACAAACAGGAAGAACACCCCTGCACCGAGTACAATGTTAATGTCACATACATAGCAGGGTTTCTCATATATTATATATATATATATATTATATGTTATATATTGTATATATAACATTCAATTCCAAAATTTTTAATGCCACCTATATGTCTAAAATCTCTGCCAATCATGTATCTCCATTTCTGGTTAAAAAAAAAGTTAAGCAAATTTCCAAAGAACCTCCAAAAAATAATCAGAGATATAATTTAAGCTACTTAGGTGTTGTGCTACAGCAATGTTTAAATAATGTTTAAAAGCAAACAACAATGTTATCACTTTAGACTGACAAACAATCACCAAAACATCTACCTTTATAGTAGTTAACTTCTTTATTCTCTCCTCCTCCCCTCATATTCTAAGATAGGATTTCACTGTGCATGCACAGACTGGCCTAGAATTTGCTAGTAGTCCAAGCTGACCTAGAACTTTCATCACTCCAGTCTCAGCCTCCTGAGTGCTAGTATTATAGGCATCTGTCATCACGTATGGCTATAATAGCTAATTTTTCTGTAACTAAATTGGATGATACTTTTCTTTTTATGTTTAGCAATCTTAGGGAATTCCTCTTGAAAAAGAAATAAAGGTTTAGTAGCTTCCATTTTTACTTTGTTGGCTCAGTCTGTTTCATTCTCATATTGTTTTTTATTTTGTTAAAGGCAGTACACAGAGGGTACTAGCCTAATTTAGCACTGAATAGCTACAAGCAACCGATCCTAATGGTTTTAAGTTTAAGCATTTGGCAGGACTATCTGACAAACTGATACTTTCCTTTTAAGTTTTTCCCCTCATGACCTAATTTCTTTTAACCCTTTTAAAGGTTCATTAAAAAAATACATTGTTGAATAATTGTTTCTGATCTAGTCATTATGTAAACCATACATTTTAAAAAGGCAATGAGTTTTTGAACATTTCAATCTGGCAACACTGTCTCTCTGCACAGCTACTAGTAACAGCACTATAAATGTAAATTCAGGCACAAGCACCCCCAGACATATTGATGACTGCTTTACTTTCAACCCATGCCAACAGCCAGAGAAGTTGCTGACACTGCTCCAGGTCATCTCCACCTTTCCTTCTGCAATCCCATGGGAGAAGAGCTAGTGCCAATGGGAAAACAATAACAGACCATGGGTCTCTGAATTTTACCAAATGAAATGCTACTGCATGCCAAATGAGCAGACAGCAGCAAAAGGAAGCTTAGGAGAAGAATAAAGAGTGTGAGAATTGAAATTTGGAAGACATTACAAATATTAACAAAAGTTATCTCAACTGCTTAATGTTTTGTGTGTGTGGAGTCAGGCCTATATCCAACAAGGTATGCAGAAAATATCTTTCTTTACTACACAAGAAATTAAAATCATAACAAAATAAAGTTAAAAATAACCCAGCAAAGTAAAAGTTATTGCTGACAGCCTAGAAACATACCAGTCAAGGTAGCGTTTATGAGAGGAAAGTTCTAAGTTCCAAATGTGCCTACTATACAAGACAGGCATGGTCAAGCTCCCACACCCAGCAGGCACTAAAACCCAGTAAGCAAGCAGTAACACCAAACAGCAAGACAGATACTATACAGAAAATGAAGAGCTGAGACAGAAAAGAGTTGGAAGAACATGTTTTAAATAGGGGTAGAAGTTACCAAAGAAGGAACTTTTCTACCCATCACAGAAGAAAGGAGGGAACTAGGTATTTTAAGAGCAGGATAAAGAATAGTCCAAGAAATGGAGACTGAGACAATAAAGTGTGCTTTATTTGGGCACCTAAGAAATCACAACAGCAGAACAAAAGTATATCAGACAGGAAAATAAAGTGTGAAGCATCACTGAATGCAGAGGTTCACAGGCTGTGGCTAAGCATTGAGATTTTACTTAGATTGAATGGAAAATTACCAATGAGCTTGTAACAAAGCCACAATTTTAGAGTACAGCCTGTTAACTGAGAACAGGCTTTCATAATTATGAAAGTAATTTTAAACTGAAAAAAAAAAAACTGGCTGCCTGTGGAAATTCAGTTTACAATATTGACTACTGTGGTAACCTTTCCACTTGTACTCAGTAAACACCCTCCCTCCTGCTACAACCTGACTCTAGTGCTCTACTTTCCTGCAGCCCTTATCTTACTTTGAAGATTTTCTGTTTGTAGAGCTTTATTTTGTCTTTACCCCCAGCGCTCTTTAAAGTTCCAAGATCATGGGCCTATTCCTGTCTGGTTAACATTCTTTCTCCCACAATCTCATACCATAGTTGACATGAAAAAGAAAATCAGTATTTACTGAGCATGACTCTTCTAGTATTTAATGAGCACTCGGTTGCTCTAGACCTAGAAAGATATCCCAGTCTACACTCTCAAGAAATGCAAAAGGGTATGTGAGTGGGGTTGAGTGGTTCTTGTCCTCAACTATGTTATAGTATGTAGCACTCAATAAACTTTTTGGAGGCATAAAGGGGTCATTATCTAACAAAAGCATTTTCCCATTAGCCACAGATATATATGTTTGACAAAGAAACTATACTTAATGAATACATTTACTAAAATCCATCAATTTGTAAGTTTTCAAGTTTCCCATGAAGAACACAGGTTAACAGTGTCTGACCCACCTTATTCTTGTCATGGATGGGGGGGGTTGAGCATCTGATACATATTACATTTGAAACAAAAACAGAAATAGAAAACGCAACTACTGAACAGACCATAAAGTAAACTTACACAATATCCAACTTGTGTGAAATTCTAGAACTTCCCTTCTGCCCCACCCCCAGAGCCCCCACCCAAGTACAAGGGTGCCAGGCTTTTATCAGCACTGATTCAGCAGTCTGTTTACAAGCTTTTCAATGGAATCCAGTAGTACACAGCTTTCTGACCTCTGCCACTACTAAAGTACTAATGGCTGAAACTATTGGGGAAAGGACCATAGAAGAAAAGAGAAAGAAAAACAAGAGCAAGAAAAGAAAGAAAATTAATAGGATCACAGGATTAAGTTCAGCATTATTTAACAAATGATACATAAAACATGTTTGTCCGGAAGGGGGCTTTTTCTGTACTTAGGAGCAGACAGTGCTGAGTAACACTGCTTAGATCTGGTGTTTTGCTGAAGTGAAATTGTGTTCCTTAAAGAGGGAAATAACTTTGGAGGAGGGGGGATCAAAAGCCTGGAGCCATATTCATTTTTTTGTTCTTTTAAAAACAGTGCCGCATGGCCCTCAAAACGAACACCACCAGCATTTCAAGCCAGTTTAAAGAGCAAAATATGGCCAGGTGGTGGTACAAACCTTTGATCCCAGCACACAGGAGGTAGAGAAAGGCAGATGGATCCCTGAGTTGTAATGGATTTGGTCTACACAGCAAGTACCAGAATAGCTAAGGATACATAGAGAAACTATGTCTAGAAAAAACCCAAACAAACAAAAAAACGTACAACAACAATAAAAAAAAACCCCAACAACAAAAAGCAAAATATGTAGCTGAGAAAAGAAAGTGACATGCGATAAAATGTAATTGGTAACGTGAGAGTCGGATTTATCTGTTTCTTACAAGGAAGGGTTGTGTGGCAATTCTCAGCATAGAATAAATATGTAGCAAAATGCTTTTAAAGCTTTCAAATGTCATCGAATGTCGATAGTTTTAAATTGCTAATTCTCCAAATGTCTTATACAATTTCTTTGCGTTTGAGCCAGTCAATTCAACACACACATATCTGAACACATCCCTGACAGTTCTAAAGTAGAAAGGAAATATTCTAACAACTTACAAACGAAGTCTTTCTATACTTGTTGAAAAGTGGCTACAGATTTGCCTACTGCTGTAATAGGGGTTGCCTGGTGAACTAAAGAGTTTTAGCAAAGCCATATATTCAACAGCAATGATACAACATGGCAAAAACTGGTATCAAAATGCCAAGCACCGAACTGGAAAACTCAAAGTCGGTAAAATGTAAAGCTTGAGGTTCAGCCAAGCATTCCTAGGAACACAGGCAAACCCCAGCAATCTCCTTCTAAGAACGCGACGGAAATAAAACTCTAGCTGGCAATCTCTGAGCCTGTCAATATGGGCTGAAATTTCTAGAAAAGTTGCCCAACAAGAAGCGTGGCCCAAGCCAAGAAACATCACTGCCACCTCCCAAAAGGATGGCAAAGACCGCACAGGATGCTGCATGGTTCGTGGACTTGGCAACACCGGGCCAGGAGGGTGTGGACCCGCCAGGCAAGGTCGGTTCCGCGAAGCCAGCGCCCCAGCCCTCGGCTCACCGGGGGTTAGCCTGGGGTGCTCCCTCCCACGACCACAGCTCGCATGCCGCGCAGGCGCCCCTCCACCTCCGATTCCAGAGCCTTCGGGACAGCCAGCGTCGCCCCTCGCCGTCCCCACAACCCCGCGCGCGAGGCCACCCAGCGCCAGCAAGGACGGCGTTCCTCTTCAGCTAGTCGGTCCGCAGTTACCCAGTTATGTCCAGCCCCGAGCCTCCTGCCCTCGCTCCGCTTCTCCCGGGAGAAAAGCGCCCCGCCACGTCCGCGACATCCCCGCCCCTTCCCTAGGCCGGGCCCCCGCAGCCTTACCCCGAACCCAACAAGCACAAGCCTAGAAATAGCAACTCCGATTCCAGGCGACTGAGTGACTGATAGGCGGCAGCACGTTCACGACACTTTCACGATTGCCGTAAAGAGGGGGACTCAGAAAAGGTTGCGGCGCGCCACCGAGCTACTCGGGAGCGCGCCCCGGGGTTCCGCCCAGCCAACTACTGTGGGCCTGTTCTGCACTTTGAGGCTGGAGCTGGCGGGTCCAGGACAGGAAAGAAGGTGAGTGGGAGGTGGGGAAATGGCTGGCCTGGCGCCAGCGGGTTGTTTAGTCGGGTGCTGCGTCGAAGGGTGGTTCGCAAGCCGAGAGCGAGAGCGCAACGCGAGTCCCCTTAGTCCCACGGGCGCGCGAACCACGCGTACCGCGGCAGCTTCACCTAGTACCGTGAGCTTCGTGACACTCACAACCGGAGTCGCGGGCCAACTCCGGGAACCCACGGATCTCGGGAGATGACAATTAGGCTGCCGTCCTACTTTTTCTTTCTTTGGTCTCTTTACCACCAGCTTGTCCCCAGCGGTGTTTCGTGCCAAGCTTGGTGTCCCTTATACTTTCCTGGTGCCAGGCACAGTGAAGCTCTTGTACTACAAGACTTAGAAAGTGAGTCTTGTACTTCAAGACTCAGGGGGATGCTTTTTTAAAAAATCAGCTAAGGAAACCTTTGCCCTAATACCCTTTGTCATTCCTGTGTCCTTATTTCTACTTGGTGGAGGCTGGGGAAGTTCAAAACAGAGATCAGTGGTGACCTTGTGTTTACACAGAGCTCAGTCTACACCCCATGATTGTGTTTCAGGGAGTGGTCCCTAGTTGAAAGGAAATTACAAGTCCTGTGAAACCTAACAGCAGCGTCCCTTGAAAAGCACTGAGACAGGAATAAATTCTCCAGCTTTCCCAATTTTAATTTATAAAGAAATACCCAAATTCAACAAATTTGTGCTGTGTTATCAAAATTTAATTTATCGGCTGTGTAACTAGATGGAAAATGTTACATTTGTCAAGAGGCCATATTAGAATTTAGGAAAATAGTCATTGCTATGCTTTGTTTGCCGCCTGATGTTTGTGTGCGCCTCTGAAAAATAGCCTGGGGCCACCTGCTCATTCACTTGGAACATCCAGAGTTTACATTTTTACTATTCTTTTGTTGTTACCACTTAAAAGAGACAACATAAAAATGTTCATTTTATTACCAGTGGCTTTTAAATGCTTGTGAAATAAAAAATGTAACTGGATTTCTGACTCTTGGAGCTTCAGAGTAAGCAGAGAAGGTGAGTGAGAGATACAAAATAGTTTGTTAAACATTCTTACTGTTGTGTAAAGTTTTCTTATATATTTTTAAGTAATTCTAAAGGTTTCTTTTTTTTGGTTCTGGAAATTGAACTTAAGGCCTCTTGTTTGCTATTCAAACACTCTTTAAAAGGGTTCTTGAATGTTTTGACCCATAAAATAGTTAACCATTACACTTCTAATCCACTTGGTCTGAATTGCTCTCATACTTTAGTTTTGGGAGGGGAAGGTGCTGGACAGTTAGTTGGTAGTCTGGTAGACTTCCATATTACTCATCCTGTCTACTTTAGTTTCTCAGTTGTCTCTGAAATACTTCAACAGTATTTTAAGCCCTGCCTTGCTTCTAAGCAGTCAGTTTAAACAGCTAGAATCTTTAAAGCATAAACATACAAGTATATCATACCTCAAAAAAATTCATACACAGCTGTGTATGGGTAGTTATGACTGTAATTTATGAATTGCTATAGTATTTTATACTTATATTTCAAGTAGAATTTTAAATTTGAAATTTTCCTGAAACCCAATAATTAGAAAGTGATAATTTTGAATTTAAAAAAAAAAGTTCAGGGGTTAGAGAAATGTGTCTGCTGTGCCAAACAATAAGAAAACTGACTTCCTACAATTAAAACTTTTTAAAAATTATAGCTGGTACATCACTATTATAAAAAAAAAAATCTCAAGCATCAGGTCATTAAAGGAAACATTTTGCTCACAATGCTACATTCTAGTGTTCAGGCCACAGATACTGTTGGTTCATTGGCTAATATTTGTGTGCTGCTTAAAATCATGTGGTTGAATTAAGAACATATCTTCTTTGTATAAAGATTTCAGGATTTGAGAAGGGAACTGGTTGGGGCAGTTCTGAAGACTGACATTTTGAGAACTTATAAAATAGGTAGTTTATCTTTCACCTTGTGAAAAGGAGCACGTATTTACTGACGACTTATGAAGGAACTTAACATGTAATATCTCATCTAGTATTTGAATAAACCTCTCTGAAACAGCTATTCTTTTAGACGGTTTAACAAATGTGAGATGGCTCAGCATGTGAGATATTTGCTAGCAATGCTGATGACCTGAGTTCATTCCCTACATAGTGGAAAAAGAAAACTGATGCCTGGGCATGTATGCCCTCGCCTTCACCCCACCCCATCTCACACCATCCCACCCTCATCCCTACCTCCCATACATATAAAATATAAATAAATGTAATCTAAAAATATTAGACAATATTAAAGGCTACTATGGGTTATACATCACCAGAGTATTAGGGTCTTTCCTTGCTGTTACTGTAACTTCTATGACTCTCTAGCAGAGTCTGCTGGAACTTTTCCATGATAAGAAAATGTCCTGTATAGTTGCTAGCCATTAGACTGGGTCTGAGCATTTGAATAGTGGTGACTACAGCATAGTAACCGAAATTTGAAATTTTATTATATATTAATTTAAATAACTGTACCTTTCTAGCAACTACTGTATGGTACAATCTGTGCTGATAATATTTGCATTTTTCAAAGTAAGAACTGGCTGAGATAAAATTTGAAGCTTGCCCGAGATCACACAGTTTTACTTTTAAGAAGGTTTTGCAAAGGGAAATACTTGTTAATTTGGAAATGCAAGGTTGAATGGGTGGAGGGGAAGAAAAGCAGTCCAACCAGGAATAGAAAACCTAACTAAGAGTGGTTACACTGTACAGTGGGTAGAAGGGAAGAAGGGAGGACTTACAGAAGTAGGATTGCCATCATTTCGTGGTGGTGTGTGAGTGTTTTGGGGAGAGAGCCTACTCTGCAAGAGTTTCTGTGATGTGCAGGAATCTAAGGGAAATAATAACGCTGCTTACTGAAATAGAAAATCCAACCCGTTACTGGAGTTAAGATGATTTGGTGTCAGTTTTATGTTTATTCAACAAGTACTGAGTGAGGATGGATGAGTCCCTGTGTTTGCAGTTGGTGAAGTAGCATCTCTCTCATTTGGTTCATTTACCTTCCTAAATGTTCATATTATAGAAGTAAAAAGCTATAGACATGCAAGTCCAGTTCTCTCAGGAACTGCTTACTTCTTCCTGCAAAGAGCTTAGGAATAGCTGTATATAGAAGATAGCCTTTCTACTTTCTGTGTGTGTGTGTGTGTGTGTGTGTGTGTGTGTGTGTGTATGTATGTGTCTGTCTGTCTGTCCGTCCGTCTCTGTCTCTGTCTCTGTCTGTGTCTGAATCTCTGTCTGTAAATGCAGGTGTATATGTATGCCTGTGGGTGTTAAGAACAGAGGGCAGCCTCAGGTGTCATGTACCTTTCCAAAAGATAGAATGACTCAGTGGCCTGGAATTTGCAGTGTGGAGGAGGCTGACTAGTGAGCCTCAGGAATATTCTTGTCTCTTCTGCCTCAGTGTTAGGGTTGCAGGCACTCTTGTCACACATGGCACACTCTTGTCACATGTTCGAGATAGTGTTTTTACAGTTTATTCAAAACGTATCACAATTTCAGAAATGTTTTCATAAGCTAAAAAGCAAACATTTTCTCTTCATTATGTAGCTCATTTCCTCTGAACTACCTTTTCTCAAAATGTCAGAATCTCAAGACTCTATACAGACTCTATGAATGGAGGGTCAGGAAAATCTCTCCCTCTTAGCCAAGAGAGATTACTTAAATATGACTGTTTTCTCCACATATCCAGGTGGTGGAATAAAGATACCATCAAGATCTAGACTCTGTATGAAGTCTTCCATTACTGATTCAAGGTTCACACTCACAGTCTACATGCTCTGAAAAACTAGAAACTGAAATTAACCTGAAGTTGGCCCAGGTTAGTAAGTCAATCTCTTCTTCCTCCTCCTCCTCCTCCTCCTCCTTCTCCTCCTCCTCCTCCTCCTCCTCTTCTCCTTCTCCTTCCTCCTCCTCCTCCTCCTTCTCTTCACCTTCCCCTTCCTCCTCCTCCTCCTTCTCTTCCTTTCCCTCTTCCTCCTCATTCTCCTCCTCCTCCTTCTCCTCCTCCTCCTCTTCTTCCTCTTCTTCCTCTTCCTCCTCCTCCTCTTCCTCCTCTTCTCCTTCTCCTTCCTCCTCCTCCTCCTCTTCACCTTCTCCTTCCTCCTCCTCCTCCTCCTCTTCCTCTCCCTCTTCCTCTCCCTCTTCCTCCTCATTCTCCTCTTCCTCCCTCTCTCTCTCTCTCTCTTTCTCTCTCTCTCTCTCTCTCTCTCTCTCTCTCTGTGTGTGTGTGTGTGTGTGTATTTATGCACATGTAGGTTCCTCTTCAAATGTATCATGGTGCACATGAGGAGGTCAGAGAACAGCCTGTGGGAGTCAGTTCTTTCTTCCTGCCATGCGGATAAAACAATTGTTTGGCATACATATAGTTTTGCCATTTATGAAAGATCATAGCAAATTTGAATGCTAATGAGATAAGTGTACTTTTCTAATTATATATTAATTTTTAAATCCCCTAATATTTGACACTCTAGGGCAGTGGTTCTCAGTGTGAGTCTCAGCCCCTTTGGGGTAAAAGAACTCTTTCACAGGAGTCGCCTAAGATCATTAGAAAACACAGATATGTCCATCCTCCCCTTCATATACAGCTGGAGCATGAGTCCCTCCCTATGTGCTCCCAGGCCGGTGGTTTAGACCCTGGGAGCTCTGGTTGGTTGGTATTGTTGCTCTCCTCATGGGGCTGCAAACTCTTTCAGCTCCTTCAGTCTTCTCTCTAACTTTTCCATTGGGAACTCCTTGATCAGTTCAGTGGTTAGCTGTGAGCATCTGCCTCTGAATATGTCAGACTCTTGCAGACCTCTAAGGAGACATCTATATCAGGCTCTTGTCAGCATGCACTTCCTGGCATCCACATCAGTGTCTACCTTTGGTGACTGCACATGGCCTGGTCAGCATAGGTGGGAAAGGAGATCCTTGTTCTCATGAAGGCTGGATGCCCAGTGTGGGGGGGGATTTGAGGGTGGGGAGGTGGGAGTGAGGGGTGGGGGGCACATCCTCATAGAAGCAGGAGGAGGGGAGTGGGATAGGGAGTTCCTGGGCGGAGGGGGTGGAATGGGGTAAGGGAATAACATCTGAAATGTAAATAAAATATCCAATAAAAAAAGGTTTTTTTTTTTAAAAAAGAAGAGAGTATATACTCATAGTTATCCTTAGAATTTTAATCTTAATATATTTATTAAGCAAAAGAGGTCATACATAGTGCTTTAGTATAGTCATATGTGCATTTATTTTAATAATGACTCCTTTTTTGCTCTTACTGCATTTTTTTATGTATCTATGGTATTTTATATGTTTTTCATTTATTTTTTATAAAAGAGTAATTTTTATCTTTAAAGATTATTCATTCTTCATTATGTGTATTGTGTGAGCATGTTTGTGTTTATGTACATACTGTGCATGCAGGAATGCACAGAAGTCAGAAGAAGTTGTTAGATCCCCAGAATTAGTTAGAGAAAATTATGAGCCTTTATGTGTGTGCTGGATACTGAACCTTTGTCCTCATCAAGGACAGTAAGTTCTCCTAACCCCTGTCCATCTCTCCAGCTCCTGTTTTCAGTTTTAGTTTGTGTGTATTATGTGTGTTAATATGAACATGATGTGCAGGTGCTCCCAGATGCCAGAGGTTGTGTAATGCCAGATGTACATACTAATAACTGATCTCAGGTCCTCTGGAAGAGCAATACATACTTTTAGCCATTGAACCATGTCTCCAGCCCCAATGTTTTTCTTACAAATAATCATATTTCAGGTATCATTACAGCTTATCAAGCAACCAAGAAAATCCTTTTAAAGGACTACAGTCTGAAGCACAATGCAGTTTATGCTTACCTATTAATACAAAGCATTCTTTAAAAATGTAAAAAAAAAACCCACAGATATTTACATTATGATTCATAACAGTAGCAAAATTACAGCCATGAAGTAGCAATGAAAATAACTTTATGGTTGGGGGGTCACTCCAACGTGAGGAACTATATTAAAGGGTCACAGCATCAGGAATGTTGAGAACCACTGCTCTAGGGCAAAGAGCATCCACCATGTTTCTCAGAGTTGATAGATTGTATTTCATCCTATTTATGCGGCTTTGCATAAATATGTAGTACAAAGTGGGAGAAGGTACATTTAAGACCATTTCATTTCCTAACATTTTTTCCTAGTCCCAAGCTGAAATAATTTAATGAGGAGTGCGTGTGTGTGTGTGTGTGTGTGTGTGTATAATCAAATATTCTAACAATTCAATCAAGTATAATACTTTGATTCTTAATTAAACCATTATGCTTCTTAAAGAACAGAAAATATTATATTAACACTAAAAACTAACTCCTAACACACAGTAGCTTTGAATCTGAGCTGAAGTGATTCAAGCAGTGTTCACCGATGAGCGCATGGTACAGAGTGTACCTTGTATGATCAGAGCCAAGGTTGTACAGAAGTTGTGCAATATAAGCCCAGGCAAATACCCTCACATATTTCTGGATTTGTTGCACTGTTGAGTTTGGATTACTTTCTGGTTGTATGTCCAGAAATCATTTCCTTTTATTTTTATCCCTATTATTTTTCATAAGCCCACATTCAGTTACATGACCCACAGTTTAAGAAGCTAGATTTTAATGACTGCACATGCTAGATGCTGATGTGGAAGTCAGGAAGTGCATGCTGATAAGAGCCTGATATATCTGTCTACTTAGAGGTCTGTAAGAGTCTGACATATTCAGAGGCAGATGCTCACAGCTAGCCATTGAACTGATCATGGGGCTCCCAATGGAGGAGTTAGAGTGAAGACTGTTGGAGCTGAAGGGGTTTGTAGCCCTATGAGGAGAGCAACAATACCAACCAACCAGAGCTCCCAGGGTCTAAACCACCAGCCTGGGAGCACTTAGGAAGGGACCTATGGCTCCAGCTGTATATGTAAGGGTGGAAGGCCCTGTTGGGCATAAGGTGGGAGAAGAGACCCTTGGTCTTATGAAGGCTGGATGCCCCAGTGGGTGGGAATTTGAGAGTGGGGAGGTGGGAGTGGGGGTGTAGGTAGGGGTACATCCCCAGAGAAGCAGGAGGAGGGGTGAGGGGATAGGGAGTTCCTGGGGGGGGAGTAAGGGGGTAACATGTGAAATATAAATAAAACATCCAATAAAAAAAATTTCAAAATCAAAGAAAAAAAAAAGAAGCTAGATTTTAGAATACTTTCAGATTTAATGATCACACCAATACAAGCTAATAGTTGGAAGCCATAAAACACATTCAAGGGGTCTGAGGGTGGTTCAGTATATAGAGCGCCTAGCATGCAAGAAAACCTGAGTTGGATTCCTTGTACTGATTAAACTGGATGTGATGTCACATGTCTATAATCCTGGTGTTTGAGTGATGGAAACAAAAGGATCATGAGTTTAAAGCCTGTCTGGACTACATAGGGAGTTCTTGGCCAGTCTAGGATTTAAAAAAAAAATTATGTAAGGGTTTCTTGGTGTTGATTTTTATAGTTAATGTAGTTTTGTCATTTTATTGAGAGTTCTATGGTCAATTTTGAATTGGTCTATACAAATATAATGCATGGTTTACTGTTTCATGCATAGAACAAGTTGGTCTAGTACCTTTTAGCCTTTGCTTTATTATATTGCCTTTATTCCTTTGCTAAATAAAGATTAGTTGACTCTGTCTAACAAGAAAGAAAGGAAAAAGAAAGAGAGAAAAAAATATTGCAGAATATATGCTGTCACATTATAGGTTTCTAAGAGTTCTATCTCTAAGAAAAAGTAAATGTAAGACTAGACAAAGCCAATAACTAGTAGAGCTGGGTTCCTACAGTCTTGAGAGAAGAATTATTGGAAACAGGAGTTAAAGTAGCATTTAAGAGCTGACTAAGGAAATGTACCCGTCAGGATTATTCTCTCAGCAACCTGCTATAGAGAAAGTGTCTATCTGACATTGACAAGAAATTGCCAAGAATAATAAATAAATCTATAAATGAAAATGTTAAGGACTGTTAGGAAAGGGAAAAATGCTAGGAGATTATGACAAGTTAGACAAGAGATTGCTTGAATCACACTTACACTGGTAAATTTTTAGAACAAAGGAGAAGAAACTTACTTAGCACTATAAATATTCTTGTATTGCAACATGTCATATGACTGAAGCAGATGACAAGTCAAAAGTGGCTGAGATTTCATTATTGAGAAAGTCAGCCTGAGACAAAGATACTCCTGTTTAGTGTGATCAGTGTCCTTGCTGATGGAAGTACCGGATCCTGCTGGAAACAGCAAGGACACTGAACTAGAGCTAGACTTGAAAAATGTGTAGAGGTTGGAGCAGGAGAGCTGACCTAACAGTAGACAGTTCAGAGCACTGGCTGCTCTTCCAGAAGAAGAGATTTAGGGTCAGTTCCCAGCACCCATATGGCAACTTACAACCATTTAGCTATAACTCCAGCTCTAGGGAATCTGACACCCTCTTCTAGCTTCCCAAGATGCCAGGACACATGTGGGACATAAATATATATGTAACATTACGCCCGTACACATAAAGTGCATTAACAGTGTGTAGAAGAGATGAGAGGGTGATGATAGCCACATGGCAGGCAACATGCTGCTCTGTGGTGTGCCTATGGGTGCTGAGCCCACATTCCTGTGTAGTTGTATTCTTCTAACACTTAGTTCACTGAGCACCTTGGGGCCCAGATAGCTTGTTTTTGTATCATCCATGGACATATTACTCACAGGCAGGTCCAACAAGTAGTTCTTCTCTTGTGTGGGGAAGTAAAGAAAGGTTTCTTGAAATAGCACAGCAGCTATAAGTCAGTCATGAGGACTCTGGTGTTATGCAAATATTCCTCTACTTCCCCCTTGCCAACATCACCTTTTACAAGCTTACTATCTATCTATCTATCTATCTATCTATCTATCTATCTATCTATCTATTTATCTATCTATCTATCAACTTTCCATTGCTCTTCAGGCTACTATAGATCACATAGTGGAAGCCATTGTGCTTGGTCTGAGTTACTAGTCATGTCGTGCTTGTCATCCTCTTCCTTACTGCAGTGCTCCTAGTCTTCGGTCTGGATAAAGGAACCTAAACTATCATCAGGGTTAACCCTATGGTGATCTCGTTACAGTGATTTTCCTGAAGTTTTGCATTTTGAAGCCCTATATCCTTTGCTGTCTTGTCCCTACCATTTATAGTCACAAATTCTGTGGACCCTATCTTCTTGAGAAGTTGATATGGCTTAGTTGGTAGATGGCTTATCTAATACACCTGAAGCCCTGGGTTTGATCCTCAGAATCACATCAACCAGGTATGGTGTGGTATATACTTGGAACCACAACAGTTAAGATAGCCAGCCTGGAATGCTTGAGATTTTTTGTTACAGAGACAGAGACAGAGACAGAGAGAGAAGGGAGGAGGGGAGGGGAGAGGAGAGGAGAAGAGAGAGGGAGGGAGGGGGGGGGGGGGGAGGGAGGGAGGGAGGGAGGTGGTGGGATGGGGCTGGGGAAGGTACAGAAGAAGGGAAGGCAGGGAAGGAGGAAGGGAAGGAAGGGAGGGGCAGAGGCAGGCCGACTGAGACTGAATTGGAAGAATCCTGACCTCAGGATTTCAAGGTTTTAGGATCATCTTGGCAGACAGAGTGAAAAAAGAATCTAGTTTCAAACACTACATTTCTTGTTTACCATGAGGGCCTGGGTGAGAGGGTGTGGTCCAGAGAGTCTGACCACTGAAACTATGGCTCTGCTGCTGAATACACCACTTGCCTACTATAGCTCAAAGGCCTCACTCTCCACATCTAAATACCTCTTGTGCTGGCATTGATGCCAAGGATTACACATATCCTTCACGACATCTTGTGATCATCTGATTTTTGTCTTTTGAATTTCGAAAGATTCTTCATTACAGAGACATGAAAATGTCAATCCTCTATCATGCCTCAGTCTGCCCAGCCAGCTCATCAGTATAACAGATACTTGCCAGTCCAGAGAGTACAAACATTGTAGTAGCTCCCCTTCCCCACCAGGAAACAGAAGAACACATTCACTCATCTGACAAATTGTAGATTGAGAATATTAGGGGCAAAACCCAGCTGTATTGGAAATATAAAGATATTTTTATTATCTGAATGATACACTGTAACAGCCGTCTCATTGATTTACATTTTTGTAATGTAGACATGACTTAAATTGTATGAGCGTGTGCGTGCGTGCGTGCGTGCGTGCGTGCGTGTGTGTGTGTGTGTGTATGAAATGATGACAGAAAGCAAGTTAGTTTCTGGCCATGGCCAGTGAGTGAGTCTTAGTTCTAAAAAGGGAAGAGGTGGTACAGGGACAGTGTGAGAAGGATGTTTGGAAGGTAACATTACAAGTGCGGGGAGTGGGTGGCTAACATGGAGTGGGAAAACTTACCCATTACTGTTTCTCATTTGCTTTCTCTGCTTCAGAAGACCTGTCTGAAATGTGGTGGTTTCAGCAAGGCCTCAGTTTCCTTCCATCGGTTCTTGTAATTTGGACATTTGCTACCTTCATATTCTCATATATCACTGCAATAACGCTCCACCATGTTGACCCTGCATTGCCTTATATCAGGTTAGTAAAGTATATTGTTCATATAGAAGTAACCCCTACCTTCAGTACTGGGGACTGAACACAGGCCCAGGTAAGTACTACTTTCTGCAGACAGTCTTTAGGACTAATTCATAGTTTACATTGAATCTGGCATTTTAATTTTTATTTGAAAATTCAAGTTTTTTACTGCTATTGTAGCAAAGGAAACATAAATAGAACTTGCAATTAATTCTTTCTATGAAATAGAAAACTCTGGGGACTGTAGGGTAAGAGTCAGTTAATTAATAGAGTCTAAACTCTTAGTGTCTAGTCTTCTAAGTAAGTGCTTGAGCTTGCCTCAGAACCTGGAATTAGAATTACTTTTCTTGTAAATTTAAAAAAAATGCTCCAAACAATAGTAGTGTTAGAAAAACATAGTAGTATGGCAAATGTTTATTAATTTATTATGTAACAAGGTAATGTTCTAAGTTTTCTTCAGGCCTTAGGTAATCCTTGCATTATCCATGTGTAGAGAAATGTATCCTTATTTAAGAAGACAGGATCTATAGTAATCTTTCTGTTACTGTAATATATATCTAAAATAATCAACTTATATCCTTAGACATTGGTCGTTCTGGCTCTCTCTTGTAGTGGTTTCAGACCATGATTAATTGGTCCTGTTTCTTTGAGCCTGGGACAAAGCATACATGATGTCAGTAGTACATAGAGAACAAAAGCCCTCACTTCAGGACCTGAAAGCAAAAGCAAGCAAAGAGGAGGTCAGAGCTTTGTAATTCTCTTTAAGTGTACTTACCCAATAACTTAAAGACCTCTTCTAAGCCTCACATCTTAAAGAACCCACAGCTACCTATAGTGCTTCCCTACAGGCTACCCTCCAATTCATTCAGTATCTAAATCACAGAAGGAGTAAGGTCCTGGAACAGTATGTGATTTGCTCAGTGGTACAATTCAGTAAGTGATGAACCAAGATTTGTACCTACAGTTTTACTCTAGGGACTGTGTTCTTACTCTTCTTGACCTACTGGCTAGATATTTCTGACAAAATAAGCATTATCAGTTATATTTTTGAAATTTCAAAACTACCAACAATTTAATTGTTGGATAATCAATCACATGTACTGTGTTCATATCCACTTTTAAACTTTATTCTTCTGAGTGTTTAGCCTGCACTGTATATGTACCACATGCATGTTTGGTCCCTTTGGAGACCAGATAAGAGCATCCTGGAGCTGAGTTACAGAGGGTTGTAAGCAGATGTCTGGTCCTTTGTAAGAGCAGCAAGTGCTGTAACTAATGAGGCCTCTTTCCAACTTACCCAATGCCATCTCTTTCAAGTACAGAAACAGGAGTAATTACTCCAACAAACTTTTAACAAAAACGATACTGCTTACAGACAGGAAGACATTAGGGCTGACTCAGCCACTAAGAATGCTTCCTCCTCTTGCAGAGGACCTATGTTTGGCTCCCAGTACCCACAGAGTGTCTTCAACTCCCTGTAACTTCAGATCCAGGAGACTTGATGCCTTCTTTTGACCCACATAGGCACACATACAGTCATACATTAAAATTGAGCAAATCTTTAAAAATAAAGTAAAAGACCCTTCTTCACTCCTGAAGTTCGTTCCTGCCTCTGAAGGTGATAGGCGATTTAATGGCTTTCCTTCCAGAATTTGTTTTGTGATCTATAGTTTTAAAGGATTCTTTCTCCCTTTCCTTTTCTCTCAGTTAATATATTTTGCTTAGCAATTTTCAGTCTTAAACATAATGAGTAATACCTCCTTTCCCTCTGGCTATTAGAAATGATGTGATAATAAAGACCACGTTGTATAACTTTGCATACTGTACAGAAATGTTGGTAAATTTCTCTATGTGGTATTGCTGAATAGACAGCAAGGTAAGACTTTTAATTTGACACTGCCAGGTGTGTGTATACCTTCACAAAGAGAATATGAAAAAACTAATAATTATGAATGGTTTCTAAGACACTAAAGTTTAAAAACATTTTTATAATCAAATGGGAACTAACCAGGAAGAAGAAGAGTTAGAGGAGTTAACTAGGATTAGAGGTGGTAAAGACACCATCACTGAACACCGCACAAGCCTCATTCTCTGTGTTTTCATGTAAATGATTCTACCTAGAATATAGTTGAAGCCTTTGAAACACCATCCTGGAGACACTGAACCAATTGCTTTTTTCCTTTTGTCCTTATCTACAGAGTATCTTTTATTTTGTATTTGTTGCAGTTGTTCCATTTCCTCGTTTACTAACCTTCTGATAGATAGCCTTTCTAACAGAGAAAATGGCAAACTTTTAAAAGTGATAAACTTGAAGGTTTAGTTGAGCCATTAAAACTGTCAGGTGAAGTTCTGACAAGTGGAAAGGGCACCAGGTGGTTGTGGTTTCTATAATGGAGATATGACCCAAAAGTCAGACACAAATTGGGTGTACTAAGAGATGTTTGTAAACCTCCTCCAATTTTTTATGATTTTAAGTGTTTACTTCTGGTAATAATTTGACAAATGATCACCCTTGTATTAAAGAAATGCATAGCTCAAGGAGCCAGACAATTCTTTGCTTCTCTGTAAGAATGTGCATATTTAAGATTGGTGTGAGCTTGTCAGCATTTTTATTTCCCCATCTGACAACTTGTCTTCTTGTATTCCAGAGCTTTCTGTAACTTAGGAGTTACTAAGTCTTTTGAGTGTTTCAGTTCTCTGCCAGTCTCATCTGTGGTCTTTCCAGGCACTCTGGACTTCCCCCCACCCCATCTCCTTCTGCTTTTCTTTTTCTTTTTTTTCTTTTTTCTTTTTTAAATGTTAACCAAGGGCTTTATAAGTTTGGTAATGCTCAATAACAAGATGCCCATACAATCAGAAGTGTAACCCAATACCCAACCTAGATATACCAACTATCTTTGACTGGTGGAGACACTGGAACATCTGCCTCTATATTCCCCTCCTTCTCCTCCCCCCTCTCTCATCTCCTAGCTCCTCCTCTCCTTACTCCTCTTCTTCCTCTCTTTACTCCTCCCAACATAGTTCCTCCTACATATCACCCTTCCTGTTAAGATAAAACTTTTCTCTTAAAATACAATTAGAGCATAACTATACCAACTTGTATCAGTTAGATAACAAGATAGTAGACCTAATACCCAGTCCATCATTTTGTTGACTAACCAGAACCTCTGTCATATCTCCTAACTAAAAGACTTAGTTCTGAACCTGAGTTTTTTCTTGGCTTTAGAATGAATGTCAGCTGAAAACCATCCTCTCAAGTCTTTTCTTTCAAAGTAAATAGCTGGGGTTGGCTATGAGACTATAAGTCTTCAACCCCGTCAGAAATCCAGAATGACTGAATTAACTGAAATCATGGGAAACACAAAGCATAGCTTCTAAAACTTAGCCAATTTATAGAAACCTCTGAACACCTGGACAGTCCCTATACTACAAAACATTGGAGCATCCGATCTTCAGCCTTCTGGCCCAGGATCACCTGACAGACCTAGTGATGCAGAATTATTAAGGGCTGCAGATATAATCAGTTGACTATTCCGAAAGTGTGTCCTTTTCTAGACAGTAATTTGTCTGTAGATGAAAAGAGGCAATTCTTGCCTAGTGGCTGTCTTACCACAACTGGAGTAACTCCAAAGACGCTCAATTTAATCTTAGAATCTAAGACAGGAAGCTGTCAGGAGCCGATAGGTCTCTAATCAAAATGAACCTTAATGCAGAAATGTTTGTAACGTCAATTCTGTGGACTTCGGACGTTTTGAAAACCAACTATCCATGTAAGGCAATCTGGACTGTTGTCTGTTAACTCATTTCAGCTATTTCTAAATAAAATATAGAAAACACCCTAACAACAAACTCAGAGCCATGAATTTGCTATAGGCCCTTAACTTACAGGCTAACCATCTCAAATCAGTTTAAAAAAGTTAAAGAAGGACTGGATCTAAGCTTTGTATTCCTAAATGTGTTATATAGGCACAATGCCTATGAGAGTAACAATATTAATCTCACTTTTATATCAATAAGAAACTCATACCAATGAAAACCTTAAATTTGAAATCAAAGTAAATTTTGTACCATTTAAGAAATTATAACTTCAGCTTAATAACAATTATACAGATTTCTACCAATACATTATGGCTATGCAATAAATCCTAGCTATTCCTCCCTGTTCCAACAAAACCACTACTTTTCCCTAGAAAGACAGCCCAATATTAACCACCTCAGTCCCCAAGCTCAGGGAATAGGGGAGCCATCTCTTCATTAACTTCTTCAAGCTGATTATGGGCGTTGTGATATTAGAAGAGGGGCAGGACGAAGAGTAAATTGATAGGCCTCTGATGTCTGTATCTTCACTGCATTCAGCTGAGATTCCAGGACATCAGAGGTTTGAGCAGGTCTGCTGAGCTTGCTTGATGAGTGGATTACACCAAGGCTGTGTAGTCTGCAGTATACAATTCTCAAAACAAAATTTAGTATCAAGATATTTTTTTTTTGAATACTGGAATCTAGTCTTCCCGGTGGCCTGTCTCTATCATATAATTCTGGGAGTTTCTATGAGGGTATGCTACCACCATCCTCCCATTCCTTCCTCCCTGCTCTCAAATTCCCCAACACTAGGGAATCCAAACTATTGGATACCAAGGCCCTCCACTTCCACCGATGCCTGACAAGGCCACCCTAAACTACCTATACAGGTAGAGCCATGAGTCCCTCCCTTTGTGTTCTTGGGCTGGAGGTTTTAGAATGGCTACTCCAGCTTGTTTCTTAGGACCATTTGCTTGAAAAATTGTTTTCCAGTCTTTTAATCTAAGGTAGTATCTGTCTCTGTCACTGTCTCTGTCACTGAGGTGGGTTTCTTGTATGCAGCAAAATGCTGGGTCCTGTTTAAGTATCCAGTCCGTTAGCCCATGTCTTTTTATTGGGGAATTGAGTCCATTGGTGTTAAGAGATATTAAGGAACAGTGATTGTTGCTTCCTATTATTTTTGTTACTTGTCGTACACCGCCCAC